GGTGCTTCATTTGGTCTTAGAAAAGAGATTTGCTACAATGACCGTCCAGTGTCCTGGGGAGGTGGCTATTCTGGGAACCTTGTTGGCCTGCGCTTTGTGAACACATCTACAGTAAAAGCTCCCACCGAAATGGCTGTTTCCGAGGCGTTATGCGAGTGTGTTTTTAAAATCTGGGAAAAAGAGAAGTGCACAGTGTGCTCACTCAATCCGGTTTTGGTCCAAAAGCTCTTAACGGGCTCGATGCACATGAAATATGACCTTAGTAACGTCAGTGTGTTTACTATGTTTGGTCAGCGGTACAGCTTGGATACAGTGGCAGCACTCATCAAAATATTCCCTAAAGTAGCAATAGTAGTATTGTATGCGTCTTCGGAGTCGTGGTTACTTGCGAAAATGATAGTAAACAAAGAAACTGCTGTAGAAGAAAAGTACGCCAAACTGACCATTGAAGAAGGTGTTGAAGTTAAAATTGTCGACGAAGAAAGTAAGTTGGTATCAAGAGGAACTCCTGGAGAGATCTGTGCGCGAAAAGCTTCGGTATTTTTGGAATACTTGGGTAACCCTGAAGCTACCAAGCGAACCAAATCATCGACAGGCTGGGTTCATATGGGAGATACAGGAATCATGTATAATGATGGTAAGATCGAGGTGATTGGAAGAAAGACAGAAATTATCAAACGAGCAACCGTGAAGATTTTTCCTGCCCACATTGAAAAAGTTCTGTTGCAGCACCCACAAGTGTCAGATGTTGTTGTGGTTGGAATCCCTGATCAGCAGTTGCACGAGGAGGTTTGTGCATGCGTAATTCTACGCGAGGATACAGAAAGTGATGGGTCGGACGAGGAAGCAAAAGTACTAGAGATCAGGGAATGGTGTAAGAGACAGTGGCCTCCTGGACCAGATGGGCTGAGCATGACACCCAGATATTTTCTTCCAATGAAAAACTTCCCCGTATTAGAAAGAGCAGGGAAGACTTTTGTGCGAGGAGTTAAGGATTATGCTTTAAAAAAGCTTACCGTTTAGTCCTAAAACATCTGCTGTTACTTAGAATCAGAGAATCAAGGGATAGCGGCTATTTTGAATCGAAATTTTGATGGTGAAAATTATCTGTTAATCCAGTTGCATACTTCGAAGTAATGGACGGTGCTTAACGTTCCAATTTCCTTGTGAGTATATATCTGACTGAGTTAAATCATGATATAGAAATGAAAGAGAAAGTTATTGTTGAAGTTATAGTTTAATCATATAAAGTTAAGACATAAAAATCGATGGTTAGTTACGTTAGTGAATAAAATGTGTTTCATTCAATGTATGATTAAAGGGGAAAATCAAACAGCATCCCTTACGAACTTTTGTTTGTGTTTTGGAATATTAAATCATAATTAAACGATAGAGTGCTTTTTACAATACCTTAATTATGTTATACAAATGTTAAAATCGATTTCTAAAATTAAAAAAAGTCGATTTTTGAAATCACCTCATTTTACATGTATCATGAAAATACCATCGCAATGAATGCCGGATATTTATGACCCTTCTCAGTTTGAACTATTTTAATTGGATTGCTCAAGATGTTCTATGTCTTTTGAAAAATATTTATTCAATATTTTAAAAGATATCCCTCTTAACATCCCTCTTGTACAATTTTTTTTTGTCATTTTAACATTTATTTATTTATTTATTTTTTCTCTGAAATGGGCTGCCTGTGGTTTTTGATATTCATTACATTGCGTGACAGCATCAAATTATGCATGGCCAACGTCGTCAACTAAGGTATTCTTTGCACTTCATGCCAAGGAGAAAGCTTTCTTCCTATTTGCCTTACTAAGGTAACCATACAATAGCTATAGGAATATAGAGCGAGGATGGAATATATTGCATTGTTATAATTCACGCATATCCAAATAATTTCGAGGAAACAAAGCTGACTAAACTATCCTATTTCTTCACCTCTTGTTGTAATCTTGTCTGACTTCATTGTATTGATTGTATATGAGAATCATATGAATTCGTACAGCTACAACATTATGAAATCAGCTGCATACAAAACCCAAGATGTAGAGATGGTACTTTCTTTAATTAAATCTTTAACCTGACGAATAAACATCAACTTTTATTTTCATGCATAATTAAGAATGCGGTATCTCCTTTAAAGTGCTTTATTTAGATCAAATTTGCAAGTAGATATCCATAGTGGTCGAACAAGAACTAATACAGTTATAAAAGCATGGAAGTAC